TAGAATGCGCACTCACCAGAGGTGCGTTTAAATAACGCATGTAGAGAAGTATATTCAGCAAATTCTCTCCACCTTCAGGGCTCTGGTCAGATCGCACTCCGTACTACCCTCTGTTTCACCACGAAGAACAGTAGCCAGGATTCATCAAACCGTGTGGCCGTCAGAAATACTCCTTAGTCCAGATAGGCACTGTGGGAGGTGGTACTCTCAAAGAGAGCCCAATAAAGGACGCCACATAGTGTGATGCTGTATGACTTGGGTTTATTAGTCAAAAAAAGGGGTGAAACAACAAAAGTACTGACCATAAATGTTGGCCACATATAGTGGCTAGATGTCCATAAGCTGTAGCCCCCCCTGACCCTCTGAGGACGTGCATCGCACGAAACGCGTCAGCGGGGGCTACAGCTTATGGACATCTAGCCACTATATGTGGCCAACATTTATGGTCAGTACTTTTGTTGTTTCACCCCTTTTTTTGACTAATAAACCCAAGTCATACAGCATCACACTATGTGGCGTCCTTTATTGGGCTCTCTTTGAGAGTACCACCTCCCACAGTGCCTATCTGGACTAAGGAGTATTTCTGACGCCCACACGGTTTGATGAATCCTGGCTACTGTTCTTCGTGGTGAAACAGAGGGTAGTACGGAGTGCGATCTGACCAGAGCCCTGAAGGTGGAGAGAATTTGCTGAATATACTTCTCTACATGCGTTATTTAAACGCACCTCTGGTGAGTGCGCATTCTATCTGTTCTTAGGATTTTTCATCTCTCACAACCACTGATCTGGGATGAGGACTTTTTATTTCCTACCGATTAGCGCACTGTTTATCATTGTATCACATCTTGCATCTCTTTGATCATTGGTATTTAGATGCATATATAATTTATAGAGAATTTTTTTCTGTATTTTGATCATAGCGCAGCACCTATCTTCTCTGTTTATTGTCACTGTACTACACCTTCTATGAGTGGAGGGGTTCAGTCACCTGAAGGTAGGAGCATACAACCCATGGGCTATGAATACAAGTCCTGTACTGTATTACAAGTTGAGAAATTTACAGGCAAGTCAAAATTCCTTTTTTTTTTTTTTTTTTTTGGTAAAAAGTTATTTTGTACAATATAAAGAAAGCAGTATAGGAGGGTTCTGGCACACGTTCAACATTATACCCTTGGAGAGCATGCATCTCCCTATCTGTTCTCTTCCTCAATATTTTCTCCTCCCTTGCTTTTATCCTGAGGGTTCTTGGCCCTTCCACTGTTGTGGCTTCTCTAAGTAATCAGCAGTAGAACAATGTAGCTTTTAGTGCTTCTGATTGGAGTCAGAAACACTCAACAGTGTGTGCAAAATATACTAAAGGTGCTATGTAAAAAACGAATACAAGCAACTTAAGAGGCAAATTGGTCATTGAAATATTTCAAAACACGCATATAATGTACTTTTTTTTTAAATCAAGGTCACCCACTTATGATTCCTTATCATAAGGAATAGCTGTATGTCAGGGAAAATGTTTGCCTGTATGTATTCAGAAATGTCTGTGTAATATATTTGAATAAACCAGAGTACTGATTCCAAAAGTGCCTCCAATCTTGGCCACAGAGTCTTGATGATGACTGCACAGTTTTATCTAGAGCAATCCATCAGTTTAATGTATATCATCTGCTGACAATCTTTGTATTATTACATTAAATAATTATACCTTTCGGCCTTTCTGGAAACTGCTGTGTACACTTTAAGATCTGTAGGCAAAGTCTCGATGGAATTGCAAATGTCTATTTCTTTTTATTCAGTGAAGTTCTGAGGTTTGTCAGTTTGCCAAGTAGCAGCTAGGCCTGAGCAAATTCCTAAAGTCAAATAGTCCGTTCACCTAGAAAAATCTTTAGATGGCACTCCACTTTCTTTGACTAGCAATAAGATTGTGTTTTGTCTACCCCCCCCAATTATAAGTCAACTAAAAACTGAAGTTGTAATTTTTGCCAGAAGCTAGAATGTTAAAGTGTTACTAAAGCATAGTTGTTTAGAAAAAAAAAAATCTTCTACTTACCTGCTCTGTGCAGTGGTTTTGCACAAGGCAGTTCCAATCATCCTCTTCTCTGGTCTCCTGCTGGCACACCTCCTTGCTCCTCCCCATTGACCAGTGCCCCAATAGTAAGCCGCTTGCTATGGGGGCACTTGTGCATGCATGTTGATGGCTCCCACTTCTGTGTCTCACCCAATGAGAAGGAGACCCGAGACACCAGTGCACATCATTGGATTGAGAGGAGGTTCAGGTAAGCAATAAGGGGGGCTGTGGGGGGAGCAACACACAGAATGCATGAAGGTAAAAAACCTTCAGCCTGTAGAACCACTTTAAATTGCCTAATGGGTTCTCAAACTCTGGTGGTGAGAACTCTGAATTGCAGTTCTGAAGTTGGCTCAGCTACTGCAGACTGTGCCATGAGGAGTGGGAACATCCATTTTGTAGCAGGGTATAATAATCAAAGACCTTGCCCTCTCTTATAAAATATCACTTTTGGTTGACCCCGTAGGCTCCCTGTAACTGATCTGTTCCCCACTACTGATTTACCACACCCTTGTTTCATACTACGTCTGGAAGGAAATGTTCATCTTTCGCAAGGGAGCTTTGCTTTTAGAGCTTGCCCCTCTGACAACTGGTGCGGTAATATTCATCAGGAGAGGTGTAGAAGTCGCCAATCCACAGAATGAATGAAGCAGGAGCATGGAGATACTTGCAATGCCAGTCCTGTTGTACATATTTCTCTTCAGCAACACAATGACCTCTCTAAATCCTGTGAGACTAGCAGTCCGGCATCAGTGCCTCTCACACAGTAGATATAGAACTGAGTGCCTTGACACCCTTGTTCACACTATGTCCATTTAGCTGTATACTAATGCACACCACAGAACATGTATGGCATGAACAGGGCACATAAAAAAAGAATTGGTTTCCATGTGCCCTGTTCACACCATAAGTGTGTGGTAGTGTGCAGAAAAATGAAGCGTAAGAGACCTGGTCTTCAACAAGCATAACATACTAGGAATTGTGCTGAAAAGGGGAAGGTACATTCTGCAGGGTGTTGCTTAGACACAATTAACTTCTTAATTACCGGTAATTTCTAGATGTTTCCTGTGATCAGATTTTCACCTTTTTCAGTTCCTCTCAATTTTAGAGTGGACTTTACAGTAAAATGCAATGTCCGCTCAAGTTTTCTAGGACCCCCTTCCCCTTTACAAATCATCTGCAGTTGGTGGGTGTAAAACGTATGTTAAATTACCATCCTTTCTGGAAGATTCTTTGGGAATACAGACCAAGGAAAATCTTACCAGGAGCTATTCCTGTCCATTTCAAGATATCGCACAATATTTCAGCAGATTTGTTTTTCCTGGATCTAGCGAAAGAGTGTGGTCTAGGTGGTGGGGGTGAGTTAAGAATAAACCGTAAAGTGTTACTAATACCCCAACCGTAAAATCAGTCTGTATATGCAGTAAAGCATGCTTGTTATAACCACTGTGGAACCTAAGGGGGTAATCCACCGCATTGTACAAAAAGGCTTTGATCCTGTCTTTTCTGATCCTCCCCTTCTTTTACTTTGTCCAATCCATCTGCCTTAGGGCATGTGCAGACTTCTGCTCTGTACGTTTTTTTTTTGTGTGTATTGCTAGAGAGGTGTATTTTTTTTTGTTTTGTTTGGAGAATGAATGTGATTGGCACAGGGCCAGTCAGCACTCTCTGGACAGAGGGTGAGGGAGCATGCAGCCTCATAGGACACTCAGAGGAGAATGAAAACTCCCCCTACAAGATTAAGCAGTGCTCAGCCAGATGCTGATAGCAATCCCAAGACTGCTATATACTGCTAATGGGAAAAGGTATTTAGCAGTTTATATTTACTAAAATAATTGCATTTCCATGTTCTGTGGAAGACCAGATATAGTGAATGCAGGGTCCTGGATTCAATAACATTTTAACATTTTTCTTTACAGGTACATTTTACACCTTTTAATCATTTGTAAAGGGGGGAAGGGAGCAGGCAGTATAAGGACATTTTACTGCAAGGTCCACTTTAAAACCACCTGTATGCAGCATCTTTCTATGGAGACATGTTCTTTGGTGGACAAGAAGTGATTTTGGTTTTACAGTGCAGTTCACATCTGTGATCACAGTATAGGGCATTTGTCTTTTGTAGTGACATAGAAATACATGCGTATGTAAGTGGATAGAGTTTGGAGCTGCTGCTGTCACTTGGATCCTTGGTATTGCCATAGCCGGTGGGATAAAAATGAGTATTCCTTATAGAGATATTGCATATGTAACAAGTGACCATCAAAAGCATGCTCAATTTCAAAGTTATCATTTTGCAGAATGTTTCTTCTCCAATGTCTGAGTAAATTTTAATCAACTTGACACACTCTGAGGCTAGTTTCACACTATTGCGGGTGTGAGAAATAGCATCTATTCCCACACCTGCAACCACAACTCCCTGCTCTGTAGAGAAGCGTGGCTGCGGGAAGCGCTGGGAAATTGCATGGTGCAAAAGCAACATGCGATTTCCTGACCACTGCAATGTGAAACACACATTAATAGGATGCGGTGCATGAGCAAACACGGCTCTCAAACCTAGCCTAATGACCCTTTGACTAACTGGTCATTTGATGACAGAAATGTAATCAAATCCTCAAAGCAGTCTAGATGATTGCATGGTGAAATACTGCATTAGATCATCAAATATTTCTAAATCTGAGAATGATTTTCCAAATACAGTATGTGGTGTTTTTCCTAGGGAATATTTTGTCATTCGTTTTGCATAAGGTTTGAACAGGTAAATAAATGACTATCTGGTGAAAGACACTGCATTGTAAATGTCAGTTCATATTGTTAGCAGTATCGACCTCTTTCCCAAGAATACTTTCTATATACTTGAGCTTGGTGATGTGAGTGAAAAGGTTGCTGTGTTAGTGCTGTTACTCATATATTTTTTTTTTTTTTTTTTTGTCTCTTGCAGGGGAAGATGTTTGGTCTTATGCTAAAGGACTTCCACATCTGTTCCAGCAGGGAGGTGTCTTTTACAATATTATGAAGAAAAACATGGGTACAGTGATACTATTTCTTACAGTGTGCTACGTTACTCATTTTAGATGGAGAAAAACATTGATTGAGGTTTAATAATGCTTTTGGATTCTGTTCATCGTTATTAATAGTGAACACTAACTTTACTGAAATGAGGCTTGTTATGAAAACTATCTAGAATATGCGGTTGCTGACTTACACTGCTGGTTGCCTAGCTGTCATCCTTTCCCTTTGGCTTCAGTGCTACCTGAGTTACTGCTAACTTGCAACAAGTGTGCAGACCAGTGTGAAAACACGGACAGACAAAGTGTATACACTTCCCTGAAGGTTGGCGCAGCAGTACCCAGCGGAGGCCTACTACAAAAAGTGGAAAGTGCATGTGCAAAAAATTCCTTAAGTTGAGGATGTCGCAGTCTTTAAAGACCCGGTGGATATAAGGTTTATGGCCTTCCTCAAGTCTCTTTTGCCCTGTCAAGCTCGGCCATGCAAACATTGGTGGTGTCTGTGGCCAGTTGACAAACTGTGGCAGTCTGGGTCAAGTGAATGGGGTGCAACCCCAGATTAATCATGATGGATCCCTTAGTGCTTTAAAAACTGGAGCTTCTCCCAGTAGTCTTGCACTACTGTGTACACAGTTTGGTCACCCTGCATCAAAAATCTCACCTGCAGCTCTTGTTAGAGCAGGTGTGCAGGATCCTCTGGCTGTTGGGGGGTGTCCTCACACTGCTGCTGCTCTCATTAAATCCACATGATCAGATTATCTGGATGACCTCCTCTTGAAGGATCATTCTGCCCAGCCCTGACATCCAGTGTGTGAAAGTTAATAAAGACACTGCTGAGTTTTGGGTGGGTTGTCTCCAGTGTTTCTTCACTGCATTCAAAGCTGCATTCTAAATTGCTTCCAGTTGTATGATTTTTGCATGAGGGTGCTGGGTTTTTAGTGGCCTTATTTGTGGTGGGGATGTTTGCCCAGTGTTACTCCAGGCCTCTGCAATTCAGTATGCTGACAGAGTGGGACAAGCTCTTTGTCTCTGGACAGGCCTGTGAGTCTTTGACCCAAGGTCAGGTCAACTCTGACCTGGTGGCTTATCAGGCTGTGCTGGAATCGGGGAAGTCCTTTCTCCCATTAACCTGCCTGGTTCTTACGACAGATGCCAGCCTGTTGGGCTGGCAAAGCATTCTAGGGACAAAAACGATTCAAGGGACATGGTCATTAAGAGATTTTGGACTACTCATCATTCTTGACGTAAGGGCCATTTGCCTGTCCCTGCTGTGGTGGACCAACAAGCTCCAGAGGTGAATGATGAGGGTTCAATGTAATGTAACTGCTGTGGCTTACATAAGTCATCAGAGCGGCACCAGAAGTCTTGTAGCCCCTTTTGAGAAGGCTTGGGATCAGCATAGTCTCCTTCCACATTCCTGGAGTAGACCATTGGTTTGCAGACTTTCAGTGATCGGCATCTGCATGCGAGGGAATGGGCTCTTCGCTCCAAGGTGTTCAAGTACATCTGCAACACTAGGAGATGTAAGAGAGAGATTTATTGACATCCCTCTTTAACAAAGTGGACAGGTTTGGTGTCAGGATCAGAGATCCAAAGGCATTTGCAGTGGGTTCACTAGTGACCGCATGGGATCAATTCTGGCTGATATAGTTTAAGTCTTCCCTCTTCTACAAATTCTTCCTGTGCTGCTTAAGAGGATCAAGATGTAGGGAATTCTGGTGATATTGGCTTCACCAAATCGGCCCAGAAGGACTTTGTACTTGGACATCCTTCGACTACTGGAAGACATGGAGTTGAAACTTTCAGATAGTCTAGACATGCTGTCTTGAGTACTGGTCTACCTTCCTGCTTCATGATTGCTGGGTTTGACAACTTCCCAAGTCCTGAGAGATTCAGATCCCTATTCCTGTACTGCTTAAAGCTGGGAAATCGATCTCTCAATTTCTATCATAGCGGTTGAGCTTACTTCTCAGTGTGTGAGGCACAGAAATGTCACCCTAGAAAATACTCCACGGGAAGTATTTTGTTCGTTCTCCAGTCTTTGCTGAAGCAGCATTTGGTCTTGAGCACTCGAGTCTTGGTATTGCCCATTCTGTTTCAGAGATTGCTGGCCTCTCATTCTCATTTAAAGGCTTTTGTTCACATCACAACGCTCCCCTTTCTTGTACACCTGTCTCACCTTGGGATCTCAAATTGGTCCTGTTGAGTCCACAGAAGCCTCCCTTTGAGTGCTTAAAAGTAATTCCCTTGGCCAACCTTGCATGTAAGGTGTATTTTCTTGTGGCTGTCATGGTAGTTAGGCAGAAGTGGCTACCTTATCCTGTAATGAACCCTTCTGTTCTTATAAAGATAAGATGGTTTTGCGGCCTCGGAGTTCCTTTCTCTCTAAGGTGGTTTCCTCCTACCACATTTATCAGGACATCGTCTTGCCTTCTTTGTCTTGCACTCCACGGAGATTTCTCTATATTGTTTACATATAGTGCACACAGAGTGAGTTCACTAATTTCGTCCAAACATTGGATTCTCTGTCCTCCCTGCGGGCTCTTACAAGAACTGTCCTGTATCTCATTCCACCATCTCTAGGTAGAATTAAGCAGGATATCTGAGGTTTGCTCCTTAAAGGATAGGAATCCCCATCCCTGTTAGGGCCCACTTGACTTGTTCACTTGATTCTTCTTGGGCCTTTGAGCATCAGGTGTCGGTTTCTGAGTTGCAAGGCTGCCACCTGGTCTTCTGTTCAGATTTGGGAAATTTTAGTAACTTGATGTTCAGGCCTCTGCTGAGGCCAGCTTCTGCCGAACATAGTCAGGTCCATAAATATTGGGACATCGACACAATTCTAACTTTTTTGGCTCTATACTCCACCACAATGGATTTGAAATTAAATGAACAAGATGTTCTTTAACTGCAGACCGTTCAGCTTTAATTTGAGGGTATTTACATCCTAATCAGGTGAACAGTGTAGGAATTACAACAGTTTGCATATGTGCCTCCCACTTGTTAAGGGACCAAAAGTAATGGGACAATTGGCTTCTCAGCTGTTCCATGGCCAGGTGTGTGTTTATTCCCTCATTATCCCAATTACAATAAGCAGATAAAAGGTCCAGAGTTAATTTCAAGTGTGCTATTTGCATTTGGAATCTGTTGCTGTCAACTCTCAAGATGAGATCCAAAGAGCTGTTACTGTCAGTGAAGCAAGCCATCATTAGGCTGAAAAAAAAAAAAAACAAACCCATCAGAGAGAGAGCAAAAACATTAGGCGTGGCCAAAACAACTGTTTGGAACATCCTTAAAAAGAAGGAACGCATTGGTGAGCTCAGCAACACCCAAAGACCCGGAAGACCTTGGAAAACAACTGTGGTGGATGACCGAAAAATTCTTTCCCTGGTGAAGAAAACACCCTTCACAACAGTTGGCCAGATCAAGAACACTCTCCAGGAGGTAGGTGTATGTGTGTCAAAGTCAACAATCCAGAGAAGACTTCACCAGAGTGAATACAGAGGGTTCACCACAAGATGTAAACCATTGGTGAGCCTCAAAAACAGGAAGGCCAGATTAGAGTTTGCCAAACGACATCTAAAAAAGCCTTCACAGTTCTGGAACAACATCCTATGGACAGATGAGACCAAGATCAACTTGTACCAGAGTGATGAGAAGAGTATGGAGAAGGAAAGGAACTGCTCATGATCCTAAGAATACCACCTCATCAGTGAAGCATGGTGGTGGTAGTGTCATGGCGTGGGCATGTGTGGCTTCCAATGGAACTGGTTCTCTTGTATTTATTGATGATGTGACTGCTGACAAAAGCAGCAGGATGAATTCTGAAGTGTTTCGGGCAATATTATCTGCTCATATTCAGCCAAATGCTTCAGAACTCTTTAGACGCCGCTTCACAGTGCAGATGGACAATGACCCAAAGCATACTGCAAAAGCAACCAAAGAGTTTTTTAAGGGAAAGAAGTGGAATGTTATGCAATGGCCAAGTCAATCACCTGACCTGAATCCGATTGAGCATGCATTTCACTTGCTCAAGACAAAACTGAAGGGAAAATGCTGCAAGAACAAGCAGGAACTGAAGACAGTTGCAGTAGAGGCCTGGCAGAGCATCACCAGGGATGAAACCCAGCGTCTGGTGATGTCTATGCGTTCCAGACTTCAGGCTGTAATTGACTGCAAAGGATTTGCAACCAAGTATTAAAAAGTGAAAGTTTAATTTATGATTATTATTCTGTCCCATTACTTTTGGTCCCTTAACAAGTGTACTGTTTTAATTCCTACGCCGTTCACCTGATTTGGATGTAAATACCCTCAAATTAAAGCCGACAGTCTGCAGTTAAAGCACATCTTGTTTGTTTCATTTCAAATCCATTGTGGTGGTGTATAGAGCCAAAAATGTTAGAATTGTGTCGATGTCCCAATATTTATGGGCCTGACTGTATGTCCTAGGCCTAGCCTAGGGATTTCATTGCTTAAAGTGAAAACACATGGTAATAAATGTAACCAAAAACTATACTACTACTGAAAATCCATTGTGTACAGTTTACATAAATAAAGCTTTGGTTCAGATCTCCCTAGCTGTGATTCTATTAAGACCATGTCAGGGGTACGATCCTGTGGCTAGTGACATCCTGCCAATGAGAGGATCACTAATAGAACACCTATTTTTTCTTAGGGAGTTACTCTAGCTTCCCAGAGAAGCAAGATGTCTTTCTCCATAACAAGTGAAATTTAGAAGCTTTGAGGCTAGCAAAGAAATCAACTACATTAGGGGAAACAGTCCCCTTACCTAGGTGATTCTGCTAGTTATGATGAGTTGCCAGCTGCCGATCACCCATCTGACATACTTGCTGTAGAGGAAGACTTAGACAATTCAGAATGATTGGAAATACATTCACACATCTTAATCTGTAGGCATCTTTCTAATCATGAATGGTCGCTGGCGGGATCAACAAGTATTTGTGAGACTTTGCAGGGGGACTAAAAGAAAACTGTCAGTGCAGATGCACTTATTAGTTGCTGTAGGCCATGGTTTAAGCCTACAAAGCAATTTAAAGTGGAACTAAAGGTATCAGTACTTACCTTTGCAATGGTCCTACACTGGCCTCTTCTCTCTGTTCCGGTTTTTGGCCATCTTTATTATCCGGTCACTCATGTGCAGGAGCTAGTAATTCGGATACAGAAGGATCAGGCTGGCTGTTGTAAGCTGACCCGGACATGTGCAGCTCAGTTTACATTCTGGAGATTGCTGTGCAGGCAGGCAGGTGTAGTTTTATAGCATAAGAGACCGTGCATCTCTCTTCTGCAATAAAAAAGCCTGCCTGCTTACAGTGTACAGTGGGGAAAATAATTATTTGAACCCCTGCAGATTTTGTAAGTTTGCCCACTTATTAAGAAATAAAGGGTCTATTGTTTTATCATAAGTGTATTTTAAATAATAGAGACAGAATATCAACCAAAAATCCAGAAATACAACATGATACAAATGTTATAAATTGAGTTGTTCAGTGAGTAAAATAAGTATTTGATCCTCAAGCAGAACATGACTTATTACTTGGTGGATATAACGTTATTGGCAAGCACAGAGGTAAGACGTTTCTTGTAGTTGGTTTGCACACATCTCAGGAGGGATAGTCCACTCGTCTTCTCTAAATCCTCAAGGTTTCTTGGCTGTTGCTTGGCAACTCCAAGTTTTCAGCTCCCTCCATAAATTTTCTATAGGATTAAGATCTGGTGACTGGCTAGGCCACTCCATGACCTTAATGCGCTTCTCCTTTAGCTACTCGTTTGTTGCCTTGGCAGTATGTTTCGGGTCATTGTCATGCTGGAAGGCCCATCCACAACCCATCTGAAGGAAGAAGGTTCTCATCCAAGATTTTACAATACATGGCTTCGTCCATTGGCCCCTCAATGCGGCAAAGTCGGCCTGTACCTTTTTAGCAGAGAAAAAGCCCCAAAGCACAATGTTTCCACTTCTGTGCTTGACTGTAGGGATGGAGTTCTTAGGGTCATAGTCAGCATTTTTCTTCCTCCAAACACGGCGAGTCAAGTTAATTCCAAAGAGCTCAATTTTGGTTTCAACTGACCACAGCACTTTCTCCCAGTCCTTCTCTGAGTCATTTAGATGTTCATTGGTAAACTTCAGACGGGCCTTTACATGTGTCTTCTTGAGGTGGGGGACCTTGCAGGCACTGCAGGATTTCAATCCATGGCGGCGTATTGTGTTACCAATGGTTTGTTTGGTGACTGTGTCTCATCTGCCTTGAGCTCATTCACAAGCACCTCCTGTGTAGTTCTGAGCTGATCCCTCACTTTTCTCATCATCCTTACCCCATGAGGCGAAATCCTGCATAGAGCTCCAGACCAAGGGCCATTTGAGTTAGTTATTTTGTATTTTTTCCATTTGTGAATAATCGCTCCAACAGTTGTCTCCTTCTCTGCAAGCTTCTTGCTGATGGTCTTGTAGCCCATTCCAGCCTTGTGCAAATCTACAGTCTTGCCTCTAACGTCCTTTGACAGCTCTTTGGTCTTGCCCATGATGGTGAGGTTTGAGTGGAAGAAAGAGATTCTGTGGACAGATGTCTTTTATTCACATAACGAGTTGTCATTAGGAGCACCTTCTTTAATTGACAGGACTAATCTGTGTACCACATGAGCACATAGCCAGTCTGTGGGAGCCAGAATTTATTGTTGGTTGGTAGGAGATCAAATACTTATTTTACTCACTGAACTGCAACTCAATTTATAACATTTGTATTTTTCTGGATTTTTGGTTGATGGCCTGCCTCTATCATTTAAAATACACCTATGATAAATTTATTTATTTAATTTATTTCAGGTACTTATATAGCGCCGTCAATTTACGCAGCGCTTTATACACATATATATATTGTACATTCACATCAGTCCCTAACCCTCAAGGTGATAAATATTATAGACTCTTCATTTCTTTGTAAGTGGGCGAACTTACAAAATCTGCAGGGGATCAAATAATTATTTTTCCCACTGTAAATGTAGTTCTGCTTTAATTCCATGGAAAGTTACCTGGCCATGCACCATTTCAAAATATAAAAGTATAAGATATACTAAAAATTAGTTATACAGCTAAGTCAAATTTGATACCTCATCTTTTCTGTACTTACGATTTTATATTCTTATTTTTTAGGAGTGGTGGATGGAAAGCATTGCACATTTCCCTACCTGCCTAATAAAACTTTTGTCTACAACGCTGCTGAAGACAGGTTGGAACTTTGTGTGGATGCGGCAGGGCATTTCCCTATTGGTCCTGAAGTGGAAGATTTGGTCAAAGAGGCATTAAACCAAGTACGTTCCGAAGCGTCTTCTAGAAGCAGAGAATCTAGTCCCTCACATGGCCTGATGAAGCTTGGCAGCGGTGGTGTGGTGAAGAAGAAGTCTGAGCAGCATCACAATGTAACAGCATTTCAAGGAAAAGGACACTCACTAGGAACGGCCTCAGGTAGTCCAGAACATAGTCAGAGAACAAGAGCTCCATCTAAGCCTAGCACTACAGCAAGCTTTAACAGCATGCCAATGTATGACCCTTCATTTACTTCAACAGCTAGTGACAGCGAACTGATCAGAGTAGCTCCTGGTGTAGTTACAATGAGAGATAGCAGGCAACTTGATCCCAGCATAATAGAGGCTCAACGGAAAAAATTGCAAGAAATGGTTTCTTCCATCCAAGCTTCAATGGATAAGCACTTACGGGATCAAAATGCAGAGCCATTGACAGGGTCATCTGATATCTCTCCAAAAAAAGGAGAGTGGCTTTCCTCCAAATCTGTAAGTGGTCCTTCAGGTCTGACTGTGGACACAAGTCCTGTAGCTTCAGACAGTAATAAGGATGGTTCCTTATCAACAATAGCTGTGAGGCCTAAAATTCAATCATCAGCCTCAACAGATGATCCAGAAGAGATGGACAGCCAAGATGCTGAAATAGCCAATGTAGCTGAGCCTATGGATCATTCATGATGGCTCAGTGGTTATTGTAACAAGAAAGATTATACAGAAAAATATATATATGTATAAATATGTAGTATGATGGCTGGGCCACAGTGTGAAATAGTCCTTTGCATAATTCTTCTAAGTTTAAAAGAATATTAAACTCCTTTTCGCTGCATGAAAATGTGTGTAATTGGGGGTTAAAAAAAAAAAAAAAAGCATCTTGATTTATTTTAGCTTCCACGTGACTAGAAGTTTAAATTTATAAACACAGTTCTTTGTATTTACAGCACTAATGATGCCTGCAATTCTAAAATATGGTTCTCTGCTGATAAGCACCCTAAAATTTATGATGAATCTGGGGATATCTTGCATTGTTCTATCTAAAGGCAAATAGATTACCTGAAAGTCATTTCCATAATAAGACCAAAAAGAAGCTTTATTGAGTCACACATGCCTTGACTTGTTATGTTTTAATTCCCATATGTGTACTATTTGACTGCAAGAAAATGGCTTCCTTTATTGGCATTATGTGATTGGCTCTCTTAAATACATATTTGTGAACAGTGAGCTACAGGTCAAAATGGCTCAAGGTTGCAAAGTTTTTTTTTTTTTACTAATAGTTGTTGAGATGTGATGTAATGTTGTCTATAGCAATTGGACAACTTTGCTTTCATATTCTAGCTAGTACTGGGAAAAATTAAGATCGACCCAGTTTTTATGGTTAACACCTCTTTCCCCCCATACGTTCTTCTATATGGTATACAGAAATAAACTGAACAGATCCATCTTTTGTATTCTATATAATCGTACTTATGCAAAGTATTATAGAAATACTTAATTATAGAAATTGATTTAATTTCATGTTTTGTTTTTACCAATGAGGTAGATTACCCTATAAACTAAAATCAAAGTTCCTACATACTGTATGTGTGGGATATTTTGGACCATTCTTTTCCTCAATAAAAGGGTACCCTGTTAATCTTCAAAGTTATTTCAAGGAAATCTGTAGTGAGAGAAATGTTGGGGCTACCATTGCTGTCTTACCTCTAAGTGCTCATGTAGATAGTCAAATGCAGCATACTGATAGGTGCATTCAGTGCTTATTTGAGATGTTTCTGAGATCCTTCAGAGGTGCTTGTATCTCCTAAGCCTTTCCATTCACATTGACTTGTGGAAGGGAAAAAAACAGACCTGACACAACTGACCATCTATACAAGCCCTAAGAATACTAGTTGTTTGGCTGCCTCTGGCTTTTAATATATTTTTTTTTTTTTTAAACACGGATAACAAGCTTGCAGTTCAGAAAAGTCAGAAATCTGAATAAGTCGGTTCTGTAGAAGTGTCTAAAGTCATTTAAACATAAGTTGTCAAGCAGCTAGTTTCAGGGGAAATCAGTGGTATTAAACTCAAAAGCAAACATTTATTATTTTGCAGCTTTCCAATTCTTGGATATGATGGATACATCAATTTTCTTTTTTTTGTATTTCTTTCCTTTTTCATCTGGTGATCCTGTCAGTAATTCTGTTTTTCATAGCAAGCTGTCCTGCAGATGTAGCAGTTGCAAGGTTGAGACCATTTACTACTGACATGGGTGATTACAATGATTCACTTTTATTTATGTAAAACTTTTATCCCAAAAGGAAAAAGCTGTTTGCTGCAAGTGCTTATAAAGTGTTAGCCGGAGTTCAGTTTCAATTTGTTAGTGAATGTAAATCTGCTAGTATATCTAGCATTCCCATCCCCCTCAGATTAACCATTCTGCTGTCCAAAGGTGCCCCTGTGCTCCCTTATCCAGAGTGTAGGCACTCCAAAGCTCCATGCACACTGGGCTTAAAAAAAAAAAAAAAACAAGCGCCAGTTCCCTTGGCAGAAAAAAACTCTAATATAGAATGTTTTTGTACACCGTTTAGCATTTTCTGCCAGAAACCTACAATAAAAAAAGCCAACCAGAAGGGTCTTTTTTTTTTTTTCCCTGCCTATAACGTTGAGCCTAAGATATGCCTCTAAACATCCTAATCTGCATGGACACATAGGATAACACTGAGCTGCTTCTACAGGCAAAGCACAAAACCCCTGTAGAAGCAGCAATTTTTAGGCTAGCGTGCATGGAGCCTAATACAGGAGGTGTGTTACTGGCCAAAACACCAGAGGAAAGCAGAGGTGAAAAGCCTAAAAAAAGTAAACTAACGCAGCCATTACATCTGACTGGTAAACTACAATGTATTACATTTGGTTTTGGGTCTAATACCGGTTTAAGAGATTCATTTTGTGTTGTGTGTTCCTAGAAAGGGCTCTTACTTTAAACATTTGAAATAAATGACAGGTTTGCGTTAAGTGATTTCATGTGTCATATGATCAAAACATAAAAGGCCTGGGAAAATGTACCAGTACAGCTGGTGAGTGGGAACTATGTTGCCCCGCTGGACATTTCTTTATTTATTAAAGCACACAAGTGAGGTGTGGTGTGTATATATACTTATACCGAGGGGTCACCACCCTAAAAAAGAGAGCAAACCTACAAAAGAGAAGGGATTTTAAGGGTGACCTACCAGTATATGTATATAAAACCATCAACAATACAGATACAATTATATAAAACATCCATTACAATTTTTATTCAACAAGATATAAAAACAAACTACATGTAATAAAAAAGTGAATGGATCGTAATTTAAAGTGACTTGTTGGCGATAACGCATTTCGCGGTAAGAACCACTTCAGATTATTGCACTCAAGTGTGACAAATATTCGTAGCATCTCTAGAAGTGAAAAGAATACGTATAAGATATATATATATATATATATATATATATATATATATATATATATGTAATATAACATAAACTATCAAAACATCAACTGACCTATAGGAAGAGAAAAGTGGCTATACAACCCCACAAAAAAAAAAAAAAAAAGAAAAATTACAAAATCAATACGAAATATCTCAGGAAGTAGTCACCTCTATCTAGGCCATGGGGAGGCATGCAACAGACCACAGATAGGCAGTGATGGGCACAATATTGTCAATTCTCTGACACCAATACAAATCTAATGGATAAATCTATAAGAATTATAAATGGATGAGATAGTCATTCACCAAATACTGAATATATGTGGAATACACTTCGCAGTCTACAATATACTTACTCCAAATTTACAATATAGCTCGAATCCACAGATAGTGGGAGAGATCCAAGCAGGCTATGTCAAAAAACCAAACCCCTACCCAAGATAAAGATGGAACACGTACATCTGGTAGAATATTATAGGAGTGCAGACTTCAATAACCAGCGGAGGCATATAAGTCTCATATGTGGTTTCAAATATGAAACTATATCCTCTATGTATGGTTTTTTACTTCTAGAGATGCAACAAATATTTGTCACACTTAAGTGCAATAATTTGAAGAAACGGTTGTTACCGCGAAACGCGTTCTTCTCGCCAACAACCAGTGTAGTTTTAAATTACGATCCCTTCACTTTTTTATTATATGCAGTGCTTTATATCTTGTTGAATAAAAAATTGTAATGATGTTTTATATAATTATATCTGTACTATTGATTTTTTTTAATATACATATACCGGTAGGTCACCCTTGAAATCCCTTTTCTTTTGTTGGTTTACGTTTCTTTAGTTATTTATGTGATTGTGATTTTTTTTTTTTTTTAGTATGTTGCCAATTCAGAACACTACCTAAAAATATATTCCTATAATGTATATAGTGTTCTGAGCTCTTAGTTTGGTGCCTATGTAAGGATTTGTTACTATGCCTTGGCTAAAAAAAAACTTTTGGCTGCTCACTGACTGTCTAAGCAGTTGGTCTTGATTTTTCAGGGAAGAAATAAAAACACACATTCGGGACAGTATCAGATGTGAACCATGGCAGTAAAGTACTCTCCTTGGTATCTGCTGTGCTATGAATTATAGTTCACTGATGAACCTTTCCATAGTTTTTATTGACTTTGGGCATAGCTACACACTTATTTTATGCTGCTGCTCATCTAAAAGTCACTATGGATAGATCCCTAACTAAAGCTTTGGCATAGAAATATCTAGTACTGCAGAGTAGTAAAGATTGCAGCACTGCACAGTTGTGTGTGATTGATGCTTTCCTGTGCCATTTGAGATTCTACAGTTCACGTAATGATTGCAGTTAAAACCTCCAAGTATTGCTTGCCTGGTAATAAAAGCATTGTAGCAAATGTTTTGTCTCTCGTTCACACAAGTAGGGGCAGCTGTGGGGTGAGTTCTCTGCTATTAGTCTTTTATATGTGAGGGCTGCACGAGTGGGGGATCTTAAAGTGGTTCTAAAGTCGATCATATTTTACCCTAATGCATTAAAGTGTTACTAAACCCACAACAGTAAAATCAGTCTGTATTTGCAGTAAAGCATGCCTGTTATACTCACTGTGGAACCTAAGGGGTTAACCTTCTGCATTGTGTAAAAATGCTGTTTGATCCTGACTTCTCTGATTTCCCCCCCCCCCTTACAATGCCCCCCTCTTATCTCCTGATAAGACATGACATATGTGGAGTCACTCAGCAAA